CATTTAGAAATGAGCGGTGGGTACGGACACAAAGATCTTCCTAGATCAACGTGGGACGGATGTTGTAAGTTGCCGATTGGAAATTCTTACATGTTGGAAGAGATTGGAGAGCGATTTCGAGGAGCTTCGACTGAAACATTCTCGAAAATAAGCGTCTTTTCTATACACACCTATGGTAGGTGTTTAAAGCGTGTTTCTTTTAAAGTATATTTGTTATTCTAACCTTTGCATTTCATAGAGAACCGGATTGAATTGTGGAGAATGCATGTTCCGTCTTGCGGAGTCCTACAATACGAACGGACACATAAGACAGTCGTTCCTACCTGCTTTGAGGAGGAGCGAAAATGCATCTTTGATTTTGTTATTGTCTTGTGGGATCTCAAGGTAATATATCCTTATTTCGACTGTTTTGTTCTACTATGCTTTGTCATTAACTTATCTTTTCAATCCATAGTGTTGGTTGCTGGAAGTTGCCGAAGTCATTTATAAACTACAAGAAGAACACAACGATTCGGATACGAATGTGTCCAATCTTTCTGGTACTCTCCCATCACACCCATTTACTCCGCAAAAAGGAATAGATGAACTCAAGCACGAATTATTCAATCCCCCTTCAGAATTAGATCCCTCATCTCCTATAAACCATAATAATATAACTAAAATTTCTGAGACAGCCCGTTCCAGAAAATTACCTATGACAGCATTGATGAAGCCTCACAACATCTAGTTCAGTTATGTGACAAAGTCATCGATGCTGAAGATAGGGCAAATCGAGCTAATCAGAAAGAAATTTTATGTTAGTGTCTCTATTGGAAGGATTTCAAAGATCAGCTTGATGAGATTATCAGAAGCAATGATGGTAAATTTGGTGAAAAGAAGGCGAGAAGTATGCTTTATAACACCATCACAGAACAGTTTTCTATCCTTCGTAAGAAAAGATCACAAGAATTGGGGCTAAAAGTTAGGGTTGTATCATGGGATAGCTTGCGTAAAAAAATCCAGAGAGCTGAAAAAAACTATAAATTATTCGAAAAGGTGGGTCTAGATAAGATCAAGTATATTAATTCATATAGCGCGAATTTCATTTTAGAGCTTACTGATGCGCAATTTCAAGAGATCATAGATTATGGTATATCTTTGGAAAAGTTGTCTCCGGAAGTTAATCATGTGACCAAAAATTCTGATATAGCCTGTCCTAAAAAAATCTTGCCTGAAGTAAATGCATCATCTACACCTCAAATCACTCCAGCTAAAGCAGATAATAATGATCTCACAGATCTTAAGGAGGAAGATTTCTGTGGTGGTGAAGTAGTGATCGCAAGTGTATCATCTGCACCTCAATCTAAGCCTGATCATTCCTATTTTCGCAACAAGATATTAGATCAATATCCTAATCTATATAGAGAATGTAGTATTGAAAATTTTGATTATTATGAGATTACTAATGAGATATCATGCGGGGATTACATCTGCCCATTATGCAAATTAGACCATGATGATGAAGAAATAGAAGGTAGGTATAAAGCAAGATCTTACTTTATTAAATATGAACAGCGTGAAATTGAGATAGTTGCATAATTTTATTGCTTTACAATAGTCTAGGAATTTTAATCTTTTTTTTGAATGAATAGGTCTATATGAGAAAAAGGGATTTAAATTGTTTGCAGACATATAAAAAGGAAAATGACTGAGTCTTATAAAATACTAACCCCCGAATATCTAGATCCACCTTTT